GAATTCAGAAAAATCTTGCCAGTGCAGAACAGACACTGTGAAATAACTTCTGTATCACTGTTACAGTTGTGACTTAGTGTTATGTTAATAAAACTGAAGAATAAGCTATTTTTTTGTATCTATCTATCTATCTATCTATCTATCTATCTATCTATCTATCTATCTATGTTCTAGTTCAGGAGCTAAGCTAAATAAATGGATGGCTTACTACTGTCAAGCCTCTTTATGGTATGGCATCCTAACACACAAACACAAACAAGGATATGCAATAAGATATTCAAAATATTCCATTAACAGGTAGAGCAAGAACTAAAATACTATAAGTTAAATGTTTGCAAATAAATTCCAAATCTTGTGCACTGCTGCATATCATAGCAACACTTGTCAAAATAGACTGAACTAAAAAATATACCAATTTTACGTGGCATTACAAATGCATGTGCAATGTTTCTCCTTAAAATCAGCAGTGTTGTTAGTTCTCCCTGTTGCTCTATCATCATGTTAATGGTGGATGTGCCATCACCCCGGCAGAGTCAGCTAAGCAATACCAGGTGCCCCACTCCCATGAAGAGCCAACCATGCATGGGAACACACAGGGACAGCAGGTAGGGATAAGCTCTTTTGTTTTACAGGGGAACTCTCCCATTATTAACCCTGTGAGAGATCATCAGTCTGGGAACTGTGGACCTGTTCAACAGAAACCAAAGCATCTTGGTAAAGGTTTTGGATAGTTGAACATAGAAAGCATGGTGATTTAGCTAGTGGACACAAACGTAAGTTCTAGAAATGGTCTGAATCTAGATAGTTATAGTGTTGCATGCTATAGACAGACCACCCTGACTGAGGGATTGACAGTTTAGGCTACTTCAACTTTATATACAAGCTTCACAATGAAAGAACATAAAAGCAATGTGGTCACCTGAGCATTACTTGATGAAATATGCGCTTTTAAACACACACTATAGCAATTTTGTCAATTACATTAGCGTCATGTGAAAACCAGTATATGATATTTTGAGAGGGAAAATCTACAAGGAGAGGATTTCACATTACACACACATGATCCAAGAAATACTACGGTGAAATATCTGCATGATAATAGTCTATTTATTTTTGGAGAGCTGAGGTTTTTGTGGCGAAATAATCAAGGAGACGTCTCAATTTTCTGACTAATGTGCTGTGATCTAATGACAGGCCACAGCAAGAGGACTTGAGGGAAGAATAATCCCATAAATCCATTAGAAATATAATATTCAAATGTATATAATTATGATTAATAGTAATTATGATTAACTGTCTTTAGATGGAGATCTATCTGAACATACACACTAAAACAAGATTTCATGTTGGTTTTGATTGCAAGATTACTTACATTTTATAATTCATATATGGAAAACGCTGTGATCCAACCATGCAATAACACAGGCAGATTTACTTCAGGATAAAAAGTGTGATTAACGTGTGAGCCTGTATGCGGACACAAATGTAAATTGAAGCCAAAGCCTATTTTACTGGATTTGTTCTTGAAGATTTATCCCAAATTTTTCCCAGTTTTGAATGCCAGTTCCATATACACAGCACTCCTTGTCTCTGCTAACTCCGCTGCTCACCTGGGGAGGGTGTAGACTGCAGTGTATTTCATAGTGGTCATAGTGTCAGCTGCTTCTTTTAACCTTTACCTTTTAACATATATTCAGTTCCACCTTGCACTGTGCAGGCATTTTGGGGGTTCTGGTGCATTGACAGGGACATTAGTCTAGTCCATTCTTAAATTTACACAAACAAGCCTGAGGTACTGCTACAGTGATAGATAGGACCTTGTCTGAGCCACTTGTGCGCCCAATCTTAAATTGTATCGTTCACTATACACTGGACAATAGGATATTCAAACAAACCCCGAACTGGTATAACAAATCAATGCTTCAAATGGAGGCAGAAAATAACATTAACATAATAACATTTTCACACAAGATGAAAAATTTAAAGCACCCATCTCCGTCAAACTTTGGATGTTTGACCAATCACCTTATCAAAAATGACATAACAGTATCGGCACTATAATCCTATCTGTGTTTTCTATGTATATGCTATGTATATGTTGTACAGCTAATATTTGAGTATCCCGCATAATGGATAAGGACCCTGTAGCATTTTTTTTAGATGTGCATGCAAAGGTGAGCACTTATAATTTTATGATATTGTAGGATGGGATTTTTGTAAAGATTTATTTTGTAAATTACTTTATTTTTTCAGGGTTATCGAGAGAATTGGAATAATTGAAGTAATGGTAACTACAGTACAGAGACAGTGCATATATATTGTATTCTGTTCCTTAATTTAGACTGGAAATAACATAGTCCCCTGTTGTGGCCTGTGATGTTAGTGATATGATGTAAGCCTGTCAATTCTTTCATCCTGCTAGACAAACAAAAACAGTAAATTTAGCCGACCTGATCATCAATAACAGACTTATTCTATTCGTTAGACAAGTTATGAACCTACAAACTGTAGAAAAAAAACATTTGGTTTGGAAAAATTGTGATGTAATGTAATGTGAATTACCTAGAAGTATATCATTTAATAAATCAGTACAGCAAAGCGTGCAGACAGAGATTATCTCACATCTCACATACTGTCCAATTTGACCACTAGACTAAACATCCCAAAACTCAGTGTAGTCATGTGGTGTGTCATCAGAGTTAAGCAAAGTTGGCTGCGCCATGTCAAAGGATACTGATTTCATTATCACGCTGAGTCAGCATCTCCTTTAATTTGGTCACTTCTGCTGCACTGTGGTGGCTCTCTTCAATTACTTCTTCTCTCGCTGTTGCTGCTGGTGACTCATCAATGCGCTTGTTTCCACCACCTTGCTTGTCCAGAATCATTATCTGTACAAAAAACATTAAAGAAAGTTGAATTTAATCAAACCATGTATAAAGTCTTTCATACGCAGTTAAATGATCTAAAATCACAGTTCAATAAACTTATACAGGACAAAAGCAGCCTGCTCTCTACTACAGGTGGATTTGCTGTTTGCTGGAACAACATCTACAGTATAAACAACCATCTAATGTCATGAATGTAAAGAAGCTGGAAAATAAATTGCGGTACCATCCTGAAAAGTAATGCTCTTCTAAATTCTGTGATATTCCCTAAACATTAATTAAATTCCACTCTTTTCCCTGTCTGCAATATAAGTCCAAAATTTCAAAGATTTTCCAGCTTTAAAGACAGGTGGGAAACATGTTAAAGCCGTAGAGCTTTTTCCACATGGAGTAGATACAGCAGACGTTTTGGGGGCATATATGGAGGCGCACTGAAGAAGACACTGGAGTTTGGGCTGACATTCTCCAGGTTTGAAAATAGCTTTTCTATTTCACGTCATCACTGCAGCGTGACAACATACATATGGAGCTAAATCACTGAGGTGACACTTCATATCTAAGCTGGCAGTGCTGAAAAGTTAAGACTGCAGGCATGCACTCTGGTATTTGAATATCACCGTGAAACAAGGACAAGCAGAGAGCTGAGCGTGGAAGAGCTAGCCTGCACCGAGAACAAAGAAGAAGGAAATCAAATTTAAACCAGATCCAAATTCCTACAGAATCACCGGAGTGTGACTGGGGTGATGCTCAGAGGAATGTAAACTGAAAAGGAGATAGAGTTTGCGGATCATAACAAACTGAAGGAGAGATAAACAGACATTCAAGTGGGATCTGGAACTACTTCTAGTGGCTGCTCCAGCTCCAACCAAACCAAAGCCCAGGAACAGTGTGAGCATTGCAATGTTTTCCCTACGCTCATTTAGCAGCAGTGGGCCATCGGCTGCTGTTTGACAAACTATAACCAGTCTGACTTTCTCCAAAAACAAAACTGTATGAATTATTGTTTTCTCCCAACATTCTGCAAACAACATGCAATAGAAACCTTTCTCCATTGCAGTGTCCATGACACACTGTCAGTGGATTAGGCACATAGCCAGAACAAAATGATGTCCAGACACCACCATTATAAAAAATGCAAACTCAAACTTAAATGATTCTTTGCTGACCAAGATTCCAATAATTAGCCATTCAATAAAATGTATACAGTGTTTACTATTTGGTTACATGAAAGTTTATCTACTAACTGATTCATAATGGATTAGTTCATTTGATGTTCAGCCTTTTATTTATGTTGGGCAACAATTAACTATAATCCTTCATCAGATTAATCTGTCATGTAAAAGAAATCTATTCATTAGTCAATAAATTACCAGAAAACAAGAAAACAGTGAAAAATGCTCATCACTGTCCCTGGAACCAGAGCCCCTTGGGGACATCCTCAGGCGGTTTGTTTACTCCGACCAAGGCTGAGGCTTACTTTTCAAGCTGTTGTGCAAACTCTTCAGAAGATCTGGTTTAAATACACAAATCAACAGTTACATGTCAACATTACACCTTGCATCTAATTAGATGGTAAATAACTGCAAAACACCAAATGTCAAGACTTAATTCAGGACATGGGAAAAACAACGGCACTGGATGAAACAGCATCATTAGATCTTGAAATATTTTCACTTTCTAGGCAGGCTACAGAATAAGACATTGCAATATCTCTAAGATTTTGTCTAGACAAAAGTATGTTTTCATTAATTTCAATGAATAGTGTTACGCATGAGATTTCCAGATTTTATGCTTAGGCCAGAGGGTAAGCTCATGTTAATCATCAGCTTTTTCTGTAAAAGTAAGTTTTACATTGCAGTCTGGTGACACAGTAATCATCTTCAGTTGTGTTAACCACATTAAAAAAAGAAAGAACACTTTAGTTAATTCAACAGTAAAGCATCTCTCAGGAAAGGACAGTAGGGGGAGCTATTTAGAAGAAGTGATTGGTCATCTGGTCACAGCTGAGCTGATGGATGATGGGGAATGTGTGGAAGAGGTTAGGTTTGCCACCTCTATGATAAAATTTGCTCATTAACTTCTGGTCAGGCACTCTCACAGTAAAGAAATGAATATTTTTAATTAGCTAGCAGAGCACCCTGAACTGAAAATATATCTTGCTGTCACACTAGCATGTTGAGTCTTATTATGGAAAGTAGAATAAAAGTACAAATATTTGGGAATAATGCCAAGATAGAGAACGGATGCAGTTAGAGAGTTATACATTTTGTCTGAATACTGTACATGAAGAGACAACTGAATATTACCTTCAGCAGAGAGAAACAGTACTGGATTTTTCTCATATCTGGTCCCAGTGACAGTGTCACACCTGGATCAGGGTCATCCAGAAAGGCCTTGAGCAGCTCTTCTAACCTAAACACACAGACACAGAGACAAACACACACACACACACACACACACACACACACACACACACACACACACACACACACACACACACACACACTGCGCCATAACCTAACAAAGCTTAAACCAATTCCACATTCCATGTTACAATCTTTCTCCATCACACTTAGCACAGGCTCAACAGGCACTCAAACAGTTAAGATCTATATTTGAGGAGTGCTTCTAATGTTTAAAATGTGGGTCTGGTCAAAGAAAACTATTTACTTAAATGTGTGTTCCAGCTCCACTGGGCCAGCCTGTTGATAAACTATCACTAGATGATAGTCCAAACATTGGTTCTTCTCGCTCTGGAACCAGCCACTGGAAAAGACCAGGAGGCAACCGTCCAGACGGATCCAATGTAGGCACAACAACGTGCGGTTTTTATTTTCCGCTGTAACGTGTCTAGCATAGAAACACGCTAGGTTTACATGACAAAGGACTTAAAACAAACGTAGCGGTCTCCTTTCAGGCCCGTGAAACAAGTTGGATTCTGGAGAATGCCCTTCGATGCCATGTAAAATATTTTGTGGGAGAAAAAATATCATCTTTCAAATGCCAGAATCTGTTAGTTTCCAAATAGTTTTTCCATGGTTTGAAGCAACATGTTATGTAGCAAATCTAGCAAACAAATACAGTATTTAGAAAAACACTTGAATTGACTTGTATGGAAATGGATTGATACAGCACTGAGAGCAGCAGAGTAGACTCTGTGTAATGTGGATGCCTGAGGATATATGTGCATTTGGAAATGCAGCAACAAGTAAACCAGGATATGTGCAATCATTCAGTTATTGGGATGAGTCAAGGCATAAACTGGAGAGGAAACGGTAACAAAAAAATCAGCATGTCCAGTGAATGTGGTCACAACAGACATCATTAAAGCTTCCCTCTGTGAGTTTGACCACAAACAGGGGAAATCGAGGATAATCACCCGGGTAGAGAGGAAATAATAAAAAGGCGGACTGAGGGGGCCAAGGCGCGGTAAATACATCAGCACTGGATGTGCCAAGTCCTCAGGGGAACCTCTGGGCTGAACTCTGGCCCTGCTTGACAGGGTCCCTCTGCCATTTGAGCATAAGAGCGGAAATAAAGCAGTCCTGGCTGAAGCACAGCCCTGGGAAACTCCATTAGATCTGGTTAAGCCTCAGTGAATCAGGCTTCGACTCAGCATCAATGCATAGCCAACAGCATAAGTTATGTAGGCACTTTCGGCAAAAGCCAAATACTTATAAATCATGAAATATATTTGCTCAAGAATCTCTGAGTCCAAAAAAAGATTGTCTGCGCTCTTCCTGGGTCTGAGGCATGCTTTAAACATCCTAGAAGGCAGACGGGGTCAACGCAGCACTATACACGTCTGCACTGTCCTGAGATGACTGGCTCTCTGAGGTCACATCATGACACACAAATACTCACGCATACATACCACCTTCCTCTGTTCCTCTAGAACATTCTGATTTAATTCAAGACTTTGAGCAAATTTGTTGCCGCCCCTTATCTTTCATCTGTAAATCTGGAGGTAACATCATAGACCATAAAATGGTCTATGGTCTATGAGGGATGAGGGAAAAGGAGGTGACGTACCTCTGAATCTCCTCCACGGTAAGCTGGTCCTCTCTCTGCTCTCCTGTCACCATGGCCAGCTCTTCCTTCAGAGACGCGATCTCCCTTTTCAGACGTGCTATCAGCTGAAATACACAAAAAGTATTTCACATACACATAATACAAAAATGCACACATACAAAACAAAGACACACAGTCACACACATGCACATGCAGATAGACACTATATTGCACCTGTTGATGAATAGGACAATCCTTCTGAAAATGATCTTGTGGCTTATCTTGCTGAGGGCAAACTTAAGTGATTCCAGGCAGCTGGAAGCTCCAATGAGAAAATGCAGGAAGCAAAACATAAAATAGTTTTAAACAGCTACAGTGGCAAAAAAAAAGGACACATAAAACCTTTTGATGCTGTCTCTCCACACATGTTAGGTTAAGTGAGCCAACAGGCTGGTTGCTGTTTGTAACCACTGTACGGGTCTAGTTACTGTATCTCACCAAGCCCAGACACAGATTCTTCAGTACTTAGACAGACATCTTTGCTGCAAGTAACAACAGTAACAGCAAGAGCGTCTTACGTCAAAAATCATGATCAGGAGAAGCTGTTTTTATAAACAGCCTAAAGCATCATTCCACTGAATACTGACAGCAATACATTTTTTTGTGTGCTCAGATATTGCATCCTGCACCTGGTGAACACAGGTAAGCTCTAAAGCGCCACTTTGATAAAACAGAATATATGACAAGAAGCTATTTGATGCATGAAAGCAGAATCCACCAAAAACAAGTGTGTCCATTCTTGGCCATGATTACATATAACCTATATAATAATCAACAACAATAGTCCATACCTGCAGAGGTCTGGCTACCTAGCCCCTAATAAATTTAGCGCCATCACATGTATGCAGGACAGCCATAAAGGAATGGATTCTGACAATAATAGCTCTTATCAGACAGAGCCATCAGAGACTGATCAGACAGAGCCATTTCAAACTGGTGTATTGGTTGTGCTGTTTGTTATAATGCTCCCTTCACAAATGTTATTTATTTGGAAATTAAATGCTGATTAATTCAATGCATAACTTGCTGATGGTAATCATACTATTCATGTTAAACACCAAACAAACCCTCTGTTTTCTGCTTCACTAACAGTGCATTTCATATTTAATTCTTTGTTGTTCGTGCAACAGGCCTGTTAAGTGGGATTAAATGCTACACCTGGAGCAAGAGGTTAGAGGTCAGCCCAGTTGACATGCAACCTTATTTTGATGTTAAGCAGTTAGTAGTAGTGTGCCATAATTGAACAACCCCTACAGACTGATTAGCCTAATTAAAAGCTTCAGCTTGACTTCTCTGCAGGTAGTTGTACGAGATATTAACTGGGCATTTACTCATTTGCCACATCCCTATAAAAAAGGGAACTGGTCCAAGAAAGGAATAGATTTCATCTAAATAGAGATGTGCAATTACATGTTAATGGTAGGGGAAACAAGCCAACACCAAAATCAATGGATTGTGTGGTTATTGAGAAGAAGCCAGACCAGTTGTAATAAAAAATCTGCACAAATCGCACCACAAAACACTACCACACACCACACTAAACCGCCTAAAAAAACAAGTGGCAATTGTTCTTTTTTCTCACATGATCCACTTCTTTCTTCAGTATAAATCGCACTTAACTATCGCCACTGAATTTGACCACATTGCAAAATACTAGAGCAGACTGAAAGACTAGAACCATCTCAGGGGGAAAGAGCAAATACAACAGAAAATGGTGACTGTGTGCTAGAGTGACACACACATAGGGTCACAGTCTGACACAAAGTTGCTAGGGAGACAAAGGTCAGTGAAAACTAAATCAAAGTCAAAGGTCAGACGAAGTGATCTAAGTTCGGAAAGCACTGCCACTTCTAGCAGACAAATGGAAAGACAAAACCAGTCAGACAGTCAGGCACTGTCAAGTCGAGATGCTCATGAGAAGAAACAGACCTGCAGAGTGGTTTTGGGTTGGTGCCACTTAACTTAACTAAAATTTCACCCCTAATCCACCCCATATCATATTTTCTAACATTGAATATCATAGCTGACCATCCCTCACCAGAGCCGCTCCCTGTATCTCCTTTTTGGAACCCGTGGTCTGATGTAACTCTCCCAGCTGCATCCTCAAACGCTGACCACCAGTTGTTGGTCAGCAGAATGGTGCAGTCTATTTCAGAGCGCCAAGCCCAGACTGGTACCACAGCACCACAACAGACTTGCACACACTCTGAATAAAAACTGACTCAGGACATGTGACTGATGATGTCAGCACATCGCATGGAAACCCATGTCAGTGCAACATGCAGATTGCTATGGTGATGGAAAAGCAGCACGTATGAGCGTATGTCTGTGTTTACTATAAACATGTTACATAATTAACTTTGAAACATTAAACTAACTCGTACAGTCCTTCCTTTAAATTATCTTTTTCTTGAAAGCATACCATCCATTCTGTGCTGAAAACCACCCACAGTAAACTGTAAGCACCGCAGTATAACCACAGATTACACCTCAAATGTGCATGTATTCTGACAAACAGCCTGTTATTATGTGACCTCTTTTTATGAAAGAAGAGGAAGCATAGTGTCCCACTACACCTTAACACATCGCCTGTGTTCCATGCATGGCAACATTTACTCATTGTAGAAGAAAGCAAAGAACACTGTTCTGCACTGCACTGCTCCACTACACTTACAAACTCCCCTCTGTCTTAACAAATGGCAGCCACTTAGATGAGGCATATGAAAGACCGAGGGAGTGCAACCACCCATAGGAATTTTTACACCCGCTTGCCGAACATGTCTCTCTGGTGGGCTTAAAGCAGGTCTCAGACTGACTCACAGCTATGCGCTAATCAGACCTGTCTTCTTAAGCAAGATGTTGTGTGTATCTTTAAGTGTAGGGAGGGACCAGGTTCAGACGGGTCACTCAGCCTCCTATTAGCCTCCGCTTAACTGCATAACAACACCTTCAGATCAACTTATTTGACCCTTTAAGAATTACAGAGAGAAGTTTGATGGCAGTTCGGCTGACCTCAAACCAAGCACTCCTGCAAAAAAATGCTCAAGTTGACACACTTTAAATAAAAGCTACTGTGTCTTGAAAGATACAGTTACTATTGACAATCTCCTCTGGCGACTGCAGATCAGGATTGGCCTGGTCTAAAGGGAGGATTAAGATTGATCTTAGTGATCCTAGAGGGGCTAAGAGAGCGAGCGAACCTTATATGGTGTGGTCACTGCGGCTGACTTCATTATGATCACAGGTCACTTTCAGCACCTCATTCTTTCCCTGTCCACAAGAGCCTTGTTAAATGTTTTGCCTGGTCTGGCTGGTTTCCTGCTGTTCAGGCTTTGAAGAATTGCATTTTGTAGCCTGTAGGCTACAGTATAGGACCATTAAGGCAGTGTGTGGTCTGAATGATGTAGCAAACACTGACTGGAAGATTGTGAAAAGCAAACTCCAGGTTTCAAATCAATTACCGCAGCCAGTGAGTCCAAAAGGCTGTGTGCCTTCAGATGGGGAAGGCCAAAAAAGTCTAAGTGTCACCCCAAACCACAAAAAAATGACATCATACTAATGTGCCAACTGCACTGCTGGCTTTGCTTTTTTCTCAGTAAACCAGGGAGAGATATAGAGGGAGAGACAGAGAGACGGGAGCAACGAACAAAATGAGAAACACACTATAAAGCCATAAACAGAGACAAGAAGTTTGCCCAAGAAGTTTGGGTTTTCCTGGAGCTGTAACTGTGCCGGACCCAATTGGGAGCCGCCAGACACTGTCACAATTACTGGGCCGGCCGCAGACTCTCTTAAAAATACCTCTGTAGGGTTTGCATGTGGCCAGCCAAGTCTCAGTAGCAGTAATACAGTAGCAGTGGATCCTGATGCAGATCTCAGTGGGAGGGAGGAAGCGGATATAGCTGTGATGACTTACTACTGTATATTCCCCAAAGGGTCTTTCCAACACCTACCAGGTCTGCTTTCTGGCAAACTACAATGGGAGAAGGTGTGACAAGGATTGTAAAGGGAGAAAGTGAAGGAGGGGAGTCATTGTTAAGGGTTAACCTGACTAAACTGCTCAGACAGTGATTTCCTATTACTCACTATGTATAACATGTAATAAAAGGCAGATATGGAAGCACGTGTAAGGTCTGCTGTACTGCATATGAGTGCCCTCAGTAACTACATATGTTGCAACAGCCCAAGGAGTTATTCTCACCAAAACGTTCTCTGCTCTGCATCTCCTACTCTGGCCTCTTCTACAACTTACTAAAATAAATATGTAATCATAGTATATAGATACTAAATAAAAATACTGAAAGTAAACACTCGTTTTAAAAAATGACTGTATGTCCTCAGACCTACAACATCTGGCCAGGAATCGCTCTATGTGGCTGCATGGGTGCAGTTTGTACTTCCTTGCATGAATGTGTGTAAAGACATACTGTATATACACTACACACCTGTCTCCAGCTGGATGCTTTCTCAAGAGGCTGAGAGATATTGGGATAAAATAACCGAATACAAACAAGACTTGTGAGCAGTCTAAATAGAAGATGGACAGACATCCACGTGTTGAGCGAGGAAAACTGTTTCTTTCAGATTGACTGTGTGACACTGGAAAAACTCATTTTGTTTGGGAACCCTAAAGAGGACACTTAAACAGTGGGTTACACTTCGTTAAAGAAGCTAGTTTTTAGAAGCTAGTTGTTAGAAGCTGGATTCTCACTGCAATTCAATCACTGATCAATTTAAGGTCTGGAAGCTATGAGGAGGGTCTGGTCATAATGAATCAGCACATAAAGTCCTGCTTCTGTGGTGTGATTGTGTGGCTAAACTACGGTATTTGTAGTGACTGCTGAAGTGCTGTGTCTGGCTGTCTCACCAGGTTAGGATCCAGTTCTTCATTCAATATCGCCTCGTTCTTAATGAGAGCCACACGCTGAGCAAAGCGGCATGTAGAGATGGACTCCTGAAGAAAAAAGTTTTTAAAAAATGTCTCAATATTTTTCTCTCTGAGGGACAACTATGACTCCTTATTACTCCTTCTTAATTAAGTACTCATTTGATATATTTGCTCAAGTGTATACATGCAAGGACTAAAAAAAGATGAGAAAATGCTATACTTAATTTATATTTACTTTATAGTGCACAGCTTTTCATTCATTTTTATGGAGCAAAATACACAGTACAGCACTATAATTAAGTATCGTATGTAACATGATTTCACTCCAAACGCCTACTTCTGCTCACTATGTGGCAATCTAACAGAATGCTGTGTCTGAACATGGTATTGGGGTGACCATCCTCACATCAAGGTTCCTCTTGTCAACTGCCATAGTGGCGATCATGGTGGTCATGCAGTTGCCCCCAAGGCTGTCCCTCAGCACAGATGTTAACATGGAGTTTCTGTAGGGAATATGGGAACGGTTCTTCTCTGACAAAGCAATGATCACCTGAGGAAGAGAACAATTGAAAGGGCTAACATGTAAATGAAGACAAAAGTGGAGGAGCAAATGAAATGCCAGACAGTAATGTCTGAAAGACAGCATCATACAACTCATACACAAGCGGCAGGATAAGCATTAATAAAAGTCAAACATCTAACATTAATTGAATTATGATTAAAGGTCTCATATTTTACACTTTTCTGGTGTTTTATTTGAAGTTTTGATATCCACAAAAAGATATATTTGTGGTTTTAAGAAGAAAAGCCTCTCTTGTAATTGGCTGACTGTTTTCTGAGTGAATAAAAATATAGCAGATTTCAGGTAAACACTCAGAGAAACCAAACCCTGGTTGGACGGTAGGTCCAGGTGGGCGGGACTTGGGACATGGCTGAGGGCGGTGACTGCTTCATTGTGACATCACAAGGCAAAGCAGTACTGACGGCTGGCTTTAAGGCTCAGTATCTGAATACAGGCTGTGTGCATTTCTCTGTGGACTGAGGCTTTGATACTTTCACAGTATTAATATAGAACCTAGACCTGCTTTATAATCAAAAAAAGACATAGATCTCACTTTATACAACATGGGACCTTTAACACATAGCAGGTTGAAGCTATAAAGGAGCATGAATCAGCAGGATATGCATTAAAATTGGTATGTCAAATCATTTACAGAAAATGAAGCAAACACATCAAATAAAAGATATCATATGGCGATATATAGTTCATTGTTTATATCAAATATATTTCCCACATTAAATTATTCATACCATGGATTATTTGAAATAGAGAAAAAGGTTTCGACAGTGGTTACCTGCTCCAAGTAGTGAAGGGAGAGGTTGATGTACTTGGCCTCAGTGAGCAGCTGCCCATTCAGGCCAGTCTTGCTAACTCTATCCGACCCAGCCAGGTCCACCAGATGGAGCTTGGAGCGCCGCAAGGTGGCTGAGCCCGGCTCACGTCTGCACAAGTGCACAGTGAAAATACAGTGTGAACGTGTGGAGGCCTGGTTCATGGGAGTCTGGAGATGAAATAAAGAAAGAGAGTAGAGTAGTGAGAGAAAATACCATAATATTGATGGGATGCAGTTAGGTTTGTGTGAGAGTATCTTGAATCCTCTAAAATTGGTACACATGGTGGACACAAAAAAAGGGGAATTTTATTCTCCATCTGCGGTATTCCCATATTCAAACAACAAAAAAACATGTTTCCTTTGAATCTTATTTTTTTTGCTCCCGATGGTTTGAAGATCAAAGTCACACCATGTGTAACTGATGAGCAGTAAACACATGGTGGTGCTTTACAAAAGCTGAGGTTGATTTTCAGATGGTCACTGGAACAGCAGAAGTCAGGTTGAGACCAGAAAGAGACAGAATTAGACTATGAGTCACTCTGCATAAACAAGCTTTATTAACAAGAGGCGGATGGTTACTCATTGGGACGTCGCTGAGAGAATAAACAGAGGAAGTGGACATTCACTGAAAAAGTGCTGATCAAGGACTTCTTTTAGTTTTCTAATGTTTGTGCCATAGCTTGAAAACATGATGGTGGTTGTAAATAACAATTATCCTGATGATAGAGTTCATCTTGACTTGGATTAGCTTCTGGTCAAGGCTGAGATTTTTGTCACTGATGACAGACATGATTCACTTTTTCTCTCTGCTATAAAAAAACATCATCATAGACATTCCAGGTCATTCATTCTAAAAAGGTGCTCTGACCCTGACTTGTTGTTGGCGTTCATATGCCAACACCAGCCTGTTGGGGTCATGACAGCTCATGACAGATCTTTCACTATCTTAACCTATTGCCGTCATCTCTTTCCTCAATCCAAATTCCCTTCACTCTGCACACGTCCATGTCTGCTCCACAGGGTATTCCTAAAAGTAATATGAAGCAGCCCTTAGATGAAAAGGGATCACATACCTAATAGGACTGCATCAAAGGCTCCAGGTTAGGAATAGAGTTTCCATGTTATAGAAATAGTTTTAGTTTCACAGTAAGTCCTACTATGAAATGATGGTATAAACTTGATAAGGAGCTTGTATTGTGCTGTTATTTTACTCCCAGTCACTGAGAAGGTGAGTGTGTTTTTCACAGTTCTAATTATGTACGATGCATTTCCTGCGTGCTGCAAAGAAAACTGTCGCCATAAGACAAGCGCATTATCATATTTTGATGCTTTAACATTAATTATATATAATAACAAAATCTTAAGTGTGTTTTAACATTTAAAAATCCTGAATTGTACTATACATCAGAATGTGATATGTGCATATTTTTGTTGATCTTACCTCAAAATACTTTCAGAAGTAAAATGTAGTTTGTATATACTTAAAGCAGCAGTGTGGGATACTATATATACAGTCAGAGTATTAGCTGCTAATGCATTAAAAGTAATAACATTTTATTGCTTGGAGGAAAGTGCTTCTATTCTAATACATGCACCAAGAAAATGAAGTTACATAGCTTCTAAGTGATTGCTAATGCAAGCACTGGAGCGGAAATCAAAACCAGCACTCATCGATGACAGTTAAAAGTTTTTACATACACTGGCAGGTTCCCATAGATAAGGAATGACTGAATGAATAGGCTCTTATGTGCTATTGTGTCCTGTTTATCACAGCATTTATAAAGACTGAGCAGCAGCAGAGCTTCGGTAAGTATGTGCATATAACTGACCATATGCACATGGCTGACCCTACACAGTGCTGAAGTGGGTCAACGTAAAGGGGCAATGTGGTGCTACAAACCTTGAAACAAATCTGGATCACCTGCCATAAGTTCAAGAGGCAGTTAGGATGTGGAGGAAGGGGGAGAGGTTCAGTCTGTGCATCCCCACATGTGTTGAGAAGAAACAAGGATGCAGAGAAAAAAAAACAGATGAGAGGAAAAGTTTCCCGATGAGGTTGAAGTAAGGGTGAGGAGTTGAGAAGGTGTATTTTATTTCCTGTCCAATAAAAGTGTAGAGGGGATTGCCAGGTCTCAAAGTGAGTGAGCTCATGGTCTACTGAGTGTTGCATGAATGGACGTGTCATCTTTTATCCACATGGCTGCGAGCAAGAGAAGAAAGAAAGCATTACTGTTAACTCTATTGGAGGCCTACGAGGAGCAAGGGCTTCTGGGATGATTCTGGCAGTGCTAAACTGACCATGAAGGTTCTTTGTTTGATTAAGGCTCAAGAGAAATGTTGTTGTGAAAAAGTCCCAGAGAGTTCACAAAAGTCTGTGTGGGTGGACTATGCTGGGTGCTCCCTGTTGAACTGTGCAATGCCTTGACCACTTGATTAGGATGAACGTAACATCCAGGAATGTGTTTCCACTGGCATATTCCCACAGATTTTACAGCAGTGGACACTGGGAGTGTGTCCTTGAGGTAAAACAAAACAAATGCAATATTGTTTAGGTAATGAGCCATGTTCAGTGGAATATGTGTATTACTTGGCAGATGCATTTTCTCACACACTAAAAATGAAGATACATTATACAGTATTAGGTATCAAACCCATTGTCTTGTTCCACAGAGGTTCCATCTTAGATCCCATAACTATTTTCTTTTTCATTGGTTTGTTTCATAGAGGAATCTCAGCCACATCAAAAACTGACAATGAAATACTTGTCAGGAATGAAAAACAAATCTTTGACTGAAACCTGATTATTCAGTTCACTTTTACTGTCTGTTATTTGCTTACAAAGTAGCAACAAGAGTAAACAAGGTGAGATCAGTGAGCTGCAAACCTCAGGTTACAAAGCAAAAGCTGACCCACTACATGTCTCATCAGTGTGGGGAGTCCGCGTGTCTGAGTGTAGAAAAAAAAACACTGCAGCATAAACAGAAATTACAGAGAGAATGCTTGGTTTTACTAGGAAAAACATGGTAAAAGGGACCACAGGGGACCAAAATAATATTTTAGAAGGGTCTTAAGGTAGCTTTTAGAATGCATATTGCATTTATGGACAAAAAATACCCTTTATGCCACTTACCTTGGGAGTGGTTATGTATTTTTACATACTGTGTACAATCCTTACTAAGAACACTGCATTGATGGTATGTCACTTAAATAGAGAAAGTTATATTTTACATTTCTGCTGTGTAGAGTAGAATCACTATGGAACCCCTTTTTCCCCTTTTTCTTACCTCTGCAATCATCCGATTGGTGTCACCCAGGAAGAGTAGATTTAGAGCCTCTTCCTCATTTGCTGACTGCTGCAGCGACAGGTTCTTGAGATGGATATTCTGGTCTGGATCCTCCATGAATGTTACTCGTCTGGGAGAAAAAAAAAAAAAAAAACTTAGTGAGAGGGAATTCCAGCATGATAAATTAACTTGAAATAAACTTGAGATTATTAATAAAAAAATGACAAAGCAGGGTAAATCCAGTCAAAACCCAAGTAATCCAACACTGAAGCAATTACGAAAAACTAATTATGTCAGCTATGTCATCTATTTTCCTCCCATTGCCTTGGCCCTGCTCAGCTCTAAATCCAAACAAACCACATCTGCAAGTCAGTGTGGGCTGCGACCCAGTTTGACACATGTGCTTTATCTGTCCGGGGGTTCATAACTTGATAACAGACAGGACTTGCTTTTAAAAACAAACAGGTGATTGGTCTTTACCAAGGCACTCTGAAACAGTGTGCTTGAACAGATGGGTCTGAAACGACTCCTTATGATCTTACCACATCGTTTCCATCACGCCATCAGGGCTGTGACAGTACGGCTACCGGATTGAGATGTCAAATCAAAGACGGAGGAATGACTGGGGAACACATGTAGATAATTGTGCCAACATGTGTAGGTAATTGAGGTAGTGTGATAAAGCAGTATTAATCTTAATGTGATTAAAGGCTGTGTCCTGGCAGTGTTATTTTCCTAAACAGCCCCATCAACCCTAAATAGGATTTAATTATTGTATTTTTACACAAATGAAAAATTATATAGATCTTAAATTAATTAGAAGATAATTTAGAGGCTGGAATTCTGAACGCATGATGGAAATAATGCACAGATGGAGACAAGAAGAGGTAAAACAAGAAAAAAAAAAATAAGAAGAGAATGTCAGAAAGAATAGAAAGGCAGTGAAAGAGAGAAGCAGCCCAACAGTCAAAGAGAGAAATTTGTCAGTGCCACAGCTTGTCCTTGAATCAGCAAGTGTAGCCACAGCATGGTTAACGACGGGCACTGTCTATTTACAGAAGACTGTGATTTGTGGGTATCTAAACCTTGAGCTGGATCCTCTGCAAAAAGAGAGAAAAAAACTTGAATGGAACTGGTATAAGAAAATACAGCACCAAACACTAAAATGATGTACCACGATGATGTCCTGCCTGGAAGTCCAAAGTCTACTTCGAGATGAATCAGTGTTGACTATGACAAAAAAGAGGCAATAAATAAATAAATAAATAAATACATAGGATAATAGACAGACAAACCTCCAGACAGATAGAATTTATAATTACACAGAAGATGGAAACAAATTAAGAAAAAACTAACAAAAAATAAAGCAGGAAGAAACAGTGAGACAGAGACAGAGACACAGTCACCAAGACATGGGAAAGGCAGAGAGGGAAGCATCAAAGAACAAGATATTAGTTAAAAAAGAGGGAGATAGATATAAAAAAGAATTTCCCTCGGACCAGCTGCAGTAGCAAACATCTTTGAAAAACTATTTCTCCACATGACCCTCTTGCTCTCCACTCCAGTGGCAGAGTCTGCCACCAGGTTGACCACATCCATTGCTGTCCCACAGTCTCATTATGTCAGTTGGCAGTTCGTTGTGTGGTGGTAAATACTAGAGTCTCCACATTTCACCACAGTGACTCCAGGCCAGGCTGATAAATGGCTGTAGGGGAATAAGGCTCAGCTAAACCCACGAGTGTTTAGGAGAATAATGGATCCAGTGGTGATTGGTCTTTCCAACTTTAAAATTAGACATGAGTGCAATTATGAAAAGTGAAATATACACTACACTTTATGGCTCTAATTGTTGACATTTTATTGAGTAATTATAGTATCTTTCCTGTAGCAAAAGCAAAGAAAAGGCCACTGACGGTAGGTCTTCCAGTCGAGAGGCTTCATGTCGGGAATCCAGAAGGTCATATCCCATCTCATTGTAGATCTCCAGGTAGGAGATGTGTGTGGTGTAAAGCATACTGCTGTCCTGTGAAGCGAAAAATGTAGTAAGTAAAATCGGCCCGGACACATAAACAATGTTAACATTTAGATGCTATGCAGCACAGGAAAATAATTAACAGTAGAGAGAAGGATACTAATTTACACTTTGCTTGTTTGGTCAGTATTTACCAGTTAAACTGAAACCTTCAATCAATTGAAAAAAAAGACAAATCACACTGTGCTGACCTGGCTGAAGCATTCGTACAGGTAGGACAGGGTGCGGGGAATAATGCCTCTATCACTGTAATGCTCGGCCCCTCCGGTGATGGTAAATGTCTTCCCACTTCCCGTCTGGCCATAGGCAAATATGGTACCATTAAAGCCAGCCAATACACTGCACAGACACACACATACAGGAAAGACACTGAGAAACCCCCTTATCACTTTATCTTTATGGTTTAGGCAAATAATCGAATGTTATGATCTCTCTCGTAAAGGCAAACATATTTAACAACCACAAAGGTCTACGTTTAGGACCTGCCTGAGATCAGTGGTTGACCGTTGGGAATATGTGCTTATGTAAAGTATCTACTATAATCTTAACAGTAAATGTACCTCACACTCTCAAATACCTATTTATGTTGTCAAGCTCATCCCATGACTTGTTTTGTGATCACTCGTTTTCCTGTTGTGTACTTGCTTTCCACAAGCTCCTTTTGGACATTTATGCAAAATCATGAGGGTTTTGTCTGTATATTATCTATTTTTCATATTTGCTAAGAAGCAATTTCAATATATAGTTTAGTTGAAATGACTAATCTTCCTCCACATCCAAGTTGTTCTCACTGGCCAGTTGACCATGGGAACAAGCCCATTCAAATTTTACAAGTACAGATAGATGTCCTTGGAACAGCACTTTGGTCATGAAGGGTTGGTTATGTTACTGTAAGGTCAATGAGAACATAACAACAAATGAGAGTGAATATGATAAACAGTTTATGATCACTGCTGCTTTTTAAAGAATGCTAAACATATGCAACCAAACAATGGGTCTACAGATAATTGATTGTCAACAGTACAAAGCTAAAGCTAAAATACAGTCTCAATGACATTAATATGTTATGACTTGCAAAACCCAGAATGCTTTATGTCTGTAAATATAACTATATTGTTGCTCCTGCCTCCTATGACATCACCATCTTAATTTGCAAAAGTGAAAGGGACTGTCAAGTGTGTCCCTAAGCAGACACCAAACGTCTGGGTGAATTGAATCTGACACTTTAAACCCACAGGAAAGGTGGCAGTGAGTGGAGAGCTGCAATGGCGACAGACATCTGCTGGTGAGGGAGAAATGTCTCGGAGTATGAGTGAAGGAAAGGGCCCAAACCCACTCAACTAGGCAGGACACGGTAAATTTTGGTTTGGCGCTGAGCTGCCTTTCTGCACGTGCACAGGGCAATGGAAACCAATGGTATCTGGTTCTGTATGAATGACCTTAACATCCAAGATGATGGTACTCCTAAGACGTAGAGAAAATTGACATTAAAAAAAACTTTTGCTCTATAGTCTTGGAAATAAACCAGCAGAAATAGTGAAATGACAGAGGGGCCCTCTGACACACGAGCTTGGATAAAAGGTGAGGATAAACTCCTCTCTGACTTGCCAAATGCAAGGAAATGGATATCTTCATCCTATATTTTTCAAGATGAACTATAAATGAAAGTTAAGCCTCACTTATTCTAATGCAATTGCCAACCCAGTATTTGAGCAGTGTGTGGGTTTCCCTCCCTGTGCGCTGTACAATTCCACACCCTGCATGAGAAGGGCAAGAGGAAAAAACTGCATGTCAGTTTATATAAAACACGACGTCCACTCATGAAAATGGTGGTTGGTTAGTCAGCCATTGGGTGTCCATTTAATCTAGCATGAGTCATGGTAGTGATTGGCAGCGGGGAGAGAAGACACAAGCTCAGTGTTTAGTTTAATGCCTGTGCTAATGATGCGGGCTGGGCCCTGCTACTGAGGCTTGGGCGTTTCCCAATGCTTGTTGCTGTTTACACCTCAGCTTCCCTGGAGACATGCAACTCATCATACAGAAGATGCTTGTTCTTCCTGCTCTTTTCATGAGCAGCAGTATGTCCAAACGTTTGAGGTAACACAGTTAAGGGTAAAACTGAACAGCCCCATTCTTCTTTGATCTTGGGCTGCAGGTTTCACAGCCTTGTGAAATGGGATTACAATGCAGATAGAGGGTTTGCCTTGCCAGCCCAACATCATTATGTTGGCTCTTCCTCTCCTGCAGCTATTAATGCTGGTTTGTTTTTAAACTACTGTGTTGGGGTTGAAATGACTGGTTTCGGTTACACCACAGCAGAGACAGAGACTAGTGTGTAAGTAAACGAGTTAGAGCTTTTGGCTAAACTTGAAGTGCGCCAAGTATGACAGCGTACCAACCAAAACAACAACCTGACAGTTATTGCTAGTTGAGAGGATAGGCGCCTGTGTGTATGAAACTGGGTTTTTGTGTGGTAACAGCGAAACTGCTGCGATTCAAAGTGACTCTTGACTAAACCTGAATAAATGTTTCCCGACTAAAGGGGCTTAGGAAAAACATTCTGTCAGTCCAAATTTGATTCTGTTTGTGATTTCTGTAACAAGATGTGAGATTTAAAAAGTTAAAACTTTGACAAAACAGGCATCCTACAGTGGGGGATAGGAACTGACAGTTGAGTAAGAAACATCTGATTTGAAAGACAGACTGGTCATGGCTGTATGAGATGAATAGTGTCCTCTAGGCTGCAGACATCATAGTCATATCAAAGACGAAAAGACATCAAGATCAAATTGATATGGCAAGACATAGTCTTGTTGTGACTGAAACTTTTTAACCTGATGTTTACCATCTGCCACAACAAAGGGGGAATTGTTCAAAGGTTGGCTGGGAAGGGCAACCTAATACCTAAGCCAATGAACCCGTGTGAGTCAGGTCAAATATATTCAAGTCCTTAGTCAGCCGATCCAGACGTCTCACCATGTTGTTTATATGTCTCCTAACAGCAAAGATAATGCAAAACACTTGTGGGATTCCACAAATAGCCCCTATTGTGAGTAAGAAGACTGGGGTGTAATTCTGAGGAGATGGTTGGGCCAGACTGAGCCAGGAGGACAGTGTTTGGCAAGGAGAAAGAGATGAAGAACCTTGTTCACATATCTACAACACAACCAACATTTAATCACAGGAAATTCCAAGTAAATTCCTTCTTTTGTTGGCTTTTTTCTCCATTGGAATCAGTCTGGATTTAAGCTAAGTCTAGACAGGGGGTAAATATCTGTCAGACACAGTAAGAGTTTTGTTTGTTGAAATGCATTGCAAACTTCTAAACGTTGTTTAGAAGTATCTTAGAGGTCAAAGAACTGAATTTCATCACTGAGGCACAATTCTGCTAACAGGGAGATGGAGAAATTAAATGTAAATGCAAAATATATTGTGTTGTGTCTATTTTATGACTGTGTGTCTATATTGACTACAATTTTTTTAAAATTAAAATCAGATGAAAAACTGGAAGGGATGCATGACATCACAATTTCTGCTGATATCCAATTGTAAAGCTTCCATGTATCTACTTTGTACCAGCGGATTTGTATATTAAAACGTCTGGTCATCATCTTTGTTCTTGCAGTTTTTTCCAAAACAGGTGAATGCTTAAAATCTAACCTGTAAACACACACTGCCCCACTGTGAAAATATCAACAGGGAAATCTGGTTCCTTCAGTCATGATACTCAGCCATTTACCATCAATTAAATATTAACTGTATCAATTTAAATGTGACTATATTGTCTAAATTGACTGTGGTGTAGTCTATAATATTGATAATAAATGAGAAAACATGCTTATGAGCCTGTGCTTAACAAATCAAATCCATCTGATATATAGAGCACATCTAAATTTTAAACATGTTTAAGATTTAAAATCTATCCTGGGCCCTAGTGTACCACTCATTTTCATTACATTGAGTGGAATTAACAAATTACTTGCACTGTTGATGTTGAGGGCCAGATATTTCAGCAGGTGAATCTACTGTAATGAATGTGGTCCTTGTGCATGACAAATGAGCTCAAAATGAGTGAGCAGCTACAATATCTAGTGTAGCTCTGTGTTGTGGCTCGAAAATGTTCTCACACTCACGGTGGCACAGTGTGCCATCTTGCCTGCCAGCTCAGTCCACTTAGTGGTTTAAGTATGTAAAGCACGCCAAAAATCACAGACACCCTCCATTTCCATCTTAAAGAAAGCTGAGCTTTACTGACTTCCTGTCAACAAGGCTGGCTAAAGCCTGTGTGGCCCCTACCACAACACGGAGAGATGAGCACTGCTGGGCACAGGTGGGCAGTGATAACTTTTGACATGTGTGATTTGTCAATGGGATAACTAAAGGTTGTAGCTTTAAAAGCTGACAAAGATTTTTAAAGGAATGATGTAAACTTTGAAATTACCTGGTGTTAAAGCAAACATTTACTAATATTTCAGTGTCGGTAAGATTTTACCTGTCTGCAACTGGCTTGACAATGTTTTCAAATATCTCATCTTGTTTGACTGCTTGATCAAACACTTTTTGGAACCTGGACAAAAGCGAAAAATAGAAAGACAGTATCACCATGACACATTTGGAAGAACAGAACAGATCAGAACATACATCTATTACTTAATTTACTACCAGAACATACAGTTTATCTCAAACATCCAAGGCTCAACAGTTACCCAAAGCAGTACTGAATAAGCACACAAAGCAGTCTATTTAATTTCCCAAGTGGATGCGGAGGAGTTTAGTAATTCTGTTTTCTAAAGCCATCTCAACCCATCATGTTTTATCCCACAGACAGATGAGAGAGATGTGAGAGGAATCCGCCCAGGAAGATTGTTAAATGTGGAAATTTTATTTCTATAAGGGCACAAGGGAACCTCCACAGGCTATTATAAGACTCTGTGGTTTTCAAAGGCTCTCAGTGTCCACTGCTGTCTGACTCCGTAACTGTGAATTTAGGGCTTGGAAGCGTGGCATGGGCCCTGCCCAGAGGGTATATAAGGCTGCAGCTTTCACCACCAGGGTTAAACAGATGTTCTAGCTCTGCACTGACAGAACTGGTGGATGAATTATTCATGGGAATATATGCAACCTTGAGAGCTTAAATTCTTCTGGGCAATACACCTTGCTCTGTGTATGTTGTCTTCATTCAAGTTTTTTTTACAGTTACATCACTCTTGCAGATTTTAGCTTGAATTAGCTTGAAATCAAGAGCTGAATTCATCATCTGCAAGATTCCTGCTTTTCCCAATTTTAGTTAAACATTAGAGATGGTCACTGCTTTGATGGTCTGCACTATCTTGAGACTGTGGCTAATTATACTGATATTATAAAGACATTATATTTCTGCTCAACTGTGAAAAGGCTGCTGGTGCTTTTATAAGACAAAAGACATCAGAAATTTGTCTCAGGAATGAGAGAAGGGCTGATATAACAGCCTTCACTTCAATCAGTACTCTAAAGTGTCAATGACAGACTGAAGTAGAACCATTTTGTAGATATAAAAAAATATGTAAATTATTTTTAAATTATAGTGACTGATTTGGGGAATGAAGCAAATGGAAAGTGCTCTCAGACACTACCTGAACTTGTAGCACTCCCTCTTGTTGTTAACAAAGCCATCAGCCAGGTCTCTGGGAACCACAAACTCCAGAGAAGCACCTATCCTTTCATCATTGTCCACAGAGTACACCTGAGGGAGCCAGAGACAACAGTAGAGTCAGCCCACAGTGGAACAAGGCCCATAGGCAAGTCTGTACTAAAGCAGGACAAGGCAGAGGGCTAATTTACCACAACAGAATATTTGGGGAATATGTAGTCCACTACATTTTCTGTGATTTGTATGTTGTTATGGTATGTGGTACCACATATGCAATGCAATTTAAACAAAAAGACAATTCATGTTAGGTCTAAAATATGACTTTGGCCACTTGTGGTTTGGGTATTGCAAGCCCTGAAATGAAAAAATTGAGTTTATGAAGCATATATCCTGTGGAAAGCAATAGAGTTGAACAACCAATAATGATCAGCATACAGTGTAGACAAGCTCTGCAAATTCACCTCCGCTTGCCAAAGCCAAAGCCATGCCTCAGGGGAGACAAGAAAAACTGTGGAACATTGAACCAATATAGATTGTGCTCTAGCAGTGAAGGACATTTTAAGTGAGGTTGGGTGGGTCAATCTAAACACCCCTCCTCCTGAGCTTTGACATATGTTCTGCCATATGTTTTCAATGGACACATGCAATTACAAGTTCCCTGATTTCAGAAATAAAAGATACAGTAAGGCCTAAATTATTGGATTGTTTTTCATTGTCACCCTGCCTGCAATATTTTCTCCTGACCACCACTGCTCTGTTGTCTATACATGGACATGTGCAGAACCTCAAAAAGCCCCAAGCATGTAGCTGTGCTCATTTCATTTTGCTCGATACTGTCAGCTAAAGCTAAAGTGCAATAGTAACCCTCAAAGTAATTTCATTATTCCTTCCATCAGCTGCTGTGCTCAGAGAATAAGCTGGGCTTTAGGGAGAAGAAAGTACTTTGCCAGGGGTGTTTTTGATGAAAATTGACTTTTTTTTATACATGTGTATCCAATAAAGAGAGCCCTTATCTGATGTCAGGTGGAAAAGTCCACACATGTGTACTTTAATAGAAAATAACCACTAGTAGGTTGGTTGATATCACTGCTTAAATTTGCCACTGTTTGAAGCTACCACACCACAATTACAAATCTGATACTGGCACAACATGGTTGACCTTAATGACCGTGAGACTGATACTGAATAAACACTGTATTAGTTGAATAGATGATACTGTAGTTGTCACTGGGAAGCTCTTTACTTGAACTTATTCTTACAGCTTTTCAGCCAGAAAAACAATTATTGGGGAAACAATAAAAACTTGTTTTGTGCACATAAGAAGTTACATCTAATTGAACATCAGTACAAAATATTAACTGTTACATCTTCATGTCAAAAATGTTTACATTGTTATTTATGTTGCAAGAGATAATTCAAGTATGGTCATCTCAATTTAATGTTGCTTGGTGTATGGAGTAAGTGACAATACAGACCCTTTCTTCAGACTAGGTATTTTGACATGTCGCAGCAAGCATGAAAACATTAATTATGACTGCATCTCATTCAGGTGTGCCAAGTACTTAGTACTGTAAATTCTTGTTCACTTGAATGATTTAAGGGAGCTATTATTACTGTTATTAGTTATACCTGTACTTTTCCTGCTACGACAACCCTTAATGTCTAGTGAAAAACTTATGATGATAGTTGCAGAAAATATATTCACAACTTTAGAAGTCTTATGTCCAGACAGGTCTATTTTTAGGAGTTCAAACCTATTATTTGGTGATAAAATATCGACTATAAACTGGGATAATTGACGTGACATTAATATAAACCAGCATGCTTCGTATTCGGTGAGGCCTAGTTGATGTAACGCCAGCATTTGCTAGCTTAAATAAATATCCTACCTAGCATTCATTTTAATATTATCTGAGTTGTGTTCAAATATTGAGTTTTAGTTGGCCACTCACCGCTGTAGTTTTCTTAGTGGGTTTAATGCGACCAAATATCTGTATCGTCTGTTTCACCATTTCGTGATAAAATAAGAAAACTGTTCAGTTTGCTTGGTTGTACTTATACACATAGCTTGTTAGCTCGCTGGCTAGTGTTGGATTTTTTCAGCGCTGTGCTCTTTGTAGTTTGTTGTAGCTGGTTGCTAGGTGACGGAGGTCACCTCCATTGACAAAGATCGTCTATGATCTTGAGGATGATTCCTCGGTGTGAAACAATCTCTCCACATCTTCTCTTACTCTTTTTTCCCCAAATGCTTGATGATATGAGTCAGAACCTGGTGGGAACATTGAATAACATCTAACACATTGTCAGAAGTAAATATAAAACAGGGATTCATAGCTGTTCTATTTTCTACTGATGTTTATTATTCTCCTCTAAGCAGGTGTTTTGTATATTCAAGACAAGAGGTCACAGAGGGTTCAGTGACTCATTTAGCAGGTAGGCTATATTGACAGAGGTGTAGTCAGTACTGTAGGCACTCCCCACACATTAGGCCAAGGCAGTTACTCATAATGCAAATAGGTTGAACCGCCCGCCAGATTTGGCAGTCAGTATTTGAAAAATATTGTCATTTGAAACAATTAAATGGGATGTGGTAATCTTGTAACTGCTTTCTCTAAAGGTACTAGAGACATTACATAAAAAAAGTTTAAATACAAACAAAAAACCGAAAGTAGAAAAAATAGAATTTAACCATCTTCTTTGATCCACAACAAGCTAAAATTCTGTGTTTTGGAAATGAAAGATTAGAGAAAGCAAGGTGTATTAAAGTGACAAATGAGAGACTGTGTGTGTATGTTTTGCATATGATGTGGGGTTAAGAGCGGGGCAAGTATATAGTAAAGTGGGAGAGTCCTTTAAGGCACATGCAAGTTTGCATTCAGGCACAAGCTCACATACGCATACGCTTATAAAAAAATCATACTTCACCTGTTGATCTGTACCTTATAGGTAAACTTTTATTGGCATGTTTGAAATTGACTTTGTAGTTTGATTTATACCAGACTTTCAAAGAACACTGAAGGAGATCATATAAAAGTAAAGCGGCTTACACAAGGAACCATAACAAAAAATTACAACATGCTCATCTTAACATCTCATAAGTAACACAAATTCACTTATCAGGTGATTTACACAGAACCATATGTCTTGTGTTTCGGAGGGTGGGGTGACGTGGGGGTTGGTGGCTTTGACCCTGACTCCAATTTCAGTGTATGTGTGTCACGCTGTTTCTGGTATTTCACCTGAACCCTGTATGTCCCCCAAATATAGCCTACCAGAAGGCCTACCCCCAAGCTGCACAGACAGCGCACCAGGAAGGCTCCTTGGTTTCATGGTGGCTTCGGAGAATGTATCATGTTTGTTCCAGTGCATTCCTGGGTGCCACAGAAAATGCTTCTTGTGTGGTTCCCTGTTTAGAGTTGTAAGTATATGTGTGTTGTGCATGATTATACCTGCTGCCTTAAAGAGGGAAGTTTGGTTTAAATGTGTAGATAATAATACATCATGTTTGCTATTAAGATTGAATGGCATTATACAGGAGTGTGGATGCGTCTGCACTATAACTCTTTGACTGCTCTGTATTATGGATTTTGACTTGGAAAAAAGAGCATGAATGGGCCAAAATTCAAACCAGCCAAGCAAAACATTTAGTTGTGTCATGATAAAGTACCCTCTGTATCCCAATTTAAAAAAAAATTCTCAACCTCCTAAAAAAAAAAAAAAAATCTAAACACTCCCTGTTTGTGTCCTCTAATGCCTACAAGTCCTTGTTTACACAGCAAATATTTTCCTAACTTGTAAAATTAGGTAAAAATTCCATGCATAACTTATCAGGAAAACCTAAACAGTCGGTCCACTCACACAGGCATGAGCCTTCATGAAAGGATGGTGTGAGGATAACCAATCGGAAAGGATGTATTTCACATGGATTCCAAGTGGTGCAACATGCATTCCTTAAAGTTAGGCCGTGTTTGGGTTATTTTGTGTTATGCAATGGGCAAAGCCTCTGTGAGAGGGAAATGATTTCTTTCAGACGATCGTTGCTGACATGTTGGTGTTCACGCCGTATACCGTGCTACCAGTCATTTGGTTCAAGCAGCCATCAGGCAGGTACTCCCAGCCACACATGGCTGAACATAAGCTGTGTTAGTAGCACCCTGCAGCAGTAACACAACTTCAAAGAGGCAACATTTTTTCAGGGCTTTCAGGTGGTGTAACACACTCTCTGGCCGCCATATTGGAGGCCTGCAGCTTGTGGGCAGCACAGAATGAACTGACTAAAACTTTATAAACCGTCTCAACAGAAAGCACTTCAGATTTGTGCACCAGTTTGAACACCAGTCATTAACAGATGCATGTTAAGACAAATATGTTGTATGTCATTTTGCTAAATTAGCCCAGAGAAGAGAAGTAAAAGCTGTTTGCTCAGGTTACCTCAGCTGACTTTTCAAGCTGCAACTGGCAGCACTTTGTAGCCACGAGCAAAGCAGAAAACAATGTCCTCTTTGCCTCACGTCCTAAATGCGGAAATACTGTTCAGTTTTATTTAATAAGTTATTAAATGCATTCTTGGCCTATTTCTGAGCAGCTGCTTCTCCAGTGGCCCTCCATAATTTTTATGCATTACATATAAAGTCCTCAAAAACTGAAGGCACAATCATTATATACCGACAAGATGATCCAGTTATATTGTACGGTTGCCTACATCTTTATCTGTCTCACCAGCTCCACAGTATGGAACACATGCTCCCAGTTTCATGTGAGGACACAGCTGACAATATCACATCTGGAATATTGCACAGAAGTATTAGTCAGAGACTCCTGTTGACAATATCACATGTATTTTTTTCTCTCACAGCTCCTGGAATTGTCTGATTGTGATCTTGTTTTTATAATGCATTTTTTTTCCATGGTGTATGACACATAACACACAGTAAATGTTTGCAGAAAGCCTGTTAACCTAGATGTTCTATCTCCCGCCCTCTCTCTCTCTTAACAATGGAAAAAAAAGAGGAAGTTTTTTTTTCCCATGAAGGCCATAACCACCAACATCAGCAGAGATCATTCACAAATATGTAGATTATATCACATGATATCAAGTATAAGCTTTTGCACACATAATGCAGCCTTTTCAAAAAAAAAAAAAAAAAAAAAAAAAAAGTGTCCGTGAATGCCAAGAAGGAGGCAGCCACGTCCACTTTCTACAAAACAGTTATACAGTGTAGTTAAATCTGTTTCCTTGACAGAGAAGTGCATGCAGTAAACACCAACCAAGGGCTGGACCGGGCTTGTTTGGGAGCTGTGAACTCTTTTTTTTTTAATATCCTGTTTTGGTCCATGTGTTGTCTTTAGCTTTAACTGACATAGCTGTGGTTTCACCCCAAAGGAGGCAACCGACTGTACTGCATGAGTCCGACACATGGAACTTTAGATCTGCATGCAAGACATTTTTACCCTCAGCACATAAATGACAAACACTCTCTTTTTGTCTTAAACTGTTCAAAGTTTTGCATGCATGCAAACCACACTGAATTTCCTTCCTTTGTCAAAGCGAAGCAATTAAAAGTCATTTCTCAGGTCCCCGTTTTGTGATTTCCCACAAATCTGACACTTTTGATCCTCTTTCACCTGTGTTGGGTTCGCAGGAAGATCAGGTGACAATAAAAAAAAAATATGTATGTGTCACAATGGAATCGTCACTGTGGATGATGACTACACTTTCTGATATGTGCATGCATGTGTGCAAGCACGCACACATTCACATGAATACATGCTTCATCAATCCTGAAAGGGGTGAGGTACAGTAAAGGCTGTTGTTTTTGATACAGATAAAGGTTTAGACTACTTGCTTTCAACCAAGAACATTTCAAAACCTGTAGAGCCTTACAGGCAAAAAACAACTTGCGCTCCAGCAGCAGCAGCAAAGTTAAAAACCAGTTTTTTCAGTCATCTTTGCCAGAGTTCAACATCTTTGTCTCTAAGCACTGGCCTGGCAGTTAATCAAAAAGGTGTGCTCAGCGACAGAGGCTTTCAGCCCGGCTGGGAGTGTATGCATGCGCTCTCCTGACAGACTGTTTGGTTTGGTTAGTGGTTGTGATTTTGTTTGGATGTTTGCAAGATGGCCTGGTACCCACTTCAATGCACGCCTTATTACAGCAGGATCAAATGTGGTGCATTGTGCCAAAGTGTGTCGTGAGGGCGATCTCAAAATGACGCAAACAGAAAAGCAGACGGGGGGAAGAAGTGGTTCCAGCAGCTATACGGATGATCTTGAACTAGATGTCATATATGTGGCCATCGCATCACCCGGTAACCATTGAATAACAATACAACTTATCTTAAAGCCTCGTGCAGCCTTGAACTACTACAGTTACAGTCCTTGTTATAAAATCCAGCCCTATTAAATAAACGCACAGAAGTGGATGTGACAGCAGCGCTAATTGCTATCGCTTGCTCACAGCTCCAACAGTAGCCTGACAACCAAGCGCAAGCAGTACACAAACAGTTTTGTGGGAGTATTAGTGTTTCTCTGTGTCTCTGCGTGCGATCATTTGTATGTATGTGTGGGTATGAACTGTAAATGTGAACATCATCTGTGAGTGCGCACCCCCGTTCCGCTGAGCTGTAAACACTGTACCCTCCACACAGCTCCTGGCTAATCATTCCCTTATGAAGGCGTCCTGGCATTCCTTTCAAACAGAGCGGTTTAGATTTGGCCAGGCCGTCATTACAGACTAAGGGAAGATGATGCTTCAGTTAAGTAGCTGCCTCTCAGTGGCTTAGTGGTTGAGGTTAGATAGATTCCATAGGATGATATGCTGCTTTGTGACTGCATGTGTTTGTGTGTGTGTGTGTGTGTGTGTGTGTGTGTGTGTGTGTGTGTGTGTGTGTGTGTGTGTGTGTGTGTGTGTGTGTGTGTGTGTGTGTGTGTGTGTTGTCCCAGTTCTGTCTGAGGGTGGCCACAGAGGCTTAGCGGTAAAATGCTAAGATGCTCCTTTAACCAAAGAGACGATTAAAGACAAGCTTCTGCTGCTATGCTACCTTACTTATACTGTGAGCACACTGTGTGTG